TTTCATTTGATTAGGATAAATTAAATTAATGTTTTATGCCTTCATCTGATTACCAGAAAAATTAAGAACATTTTATAGGGCCCTATTATTGTTTAAAAAAAGGACCCTATACAAAAAAAAAGAATAGGTTTAAAATACAGGCATGTGGTTCTTAATTTATTTTTATTAATTCACCATTTGTAAACTGATGTTTACTGTTCCATTTTTTTTTTTAGAAATATCAATAGCATTTGTATTAAAACTATATTAACTGAATGTAATCAAAAAATTGAGAATCGAATCGAGAGCTTGCGAATTGAAATCGAATCGGGACATCTGAATCGATACCCAGCCCTATTTAATACCTATAAGTAATTTTTGCTGTGTAGTTTTTATCCCATTATATCCTATTATCCCAGCCCTCAGATACTGATGTTAGTTGTTCCTGGTTTGAGACCAGCATGTTTTAGTGGCCGGTTCAGAATCCATGTTTCCCACCCAGAATTACATTTTATTTGGAAATGTGCAGAATGGATCCAAGTTGGGCAGTGACACCATATTGATGAAAGAATCAGTAGACCCTTTAACTGACTAATCAGTAAACACTCTTAACTAACACAGAGTGATATGTGCCTTACAGTGTTTATGTATTTCTCTCAGTGTATAGTTATTTACTCCCTCAGCCTAGTTATATTACCAGCAGCTGCAGTCAGGTATTTTATGTGGGCACATGTGGCAGAGAGTGGCCTGTTTAGGGCTGAATTTATTGCAAGGCCAATGTGCTTTTATTGGATGGGCAACCCCAGTGACCTCATAGCCAGTAGAAGTACTGTATTTCACCACAGTGTGTGACTCAAAAAAGGATGTGATGATTGACTAACTGACTCTTGAAAGCTGCATGGAAAACACTCCAGTTTGATGAGTTGGATCAATTAACTTTTTCTTTTTCAGCCTGACATATATTGATAGGAAGGACATTAAAAAAACTATTTCAAAGAGAAGCAAAGGCTCTGTTCCAAAACCTAGCGAGCCTACATAGGCAACTGCTTCTAAAGTGAAACCTCATAACTGACCGATTATGAAACGATTTTGGTGTTCATTGAATTGTATTCATTTTTGCTTATTTTGCCGATGCATTATAAGATTGTGTTCTTAATCTGAATTTTGCATCATTCATTTTGTCAAATTGTTAGCTAAATATGATATATATA